GACTCGCCTTTGTTTGGTTTTCCACTGTGTAAAAGTTGTACCTGTACCTGCTTTCGGGTACTTTTTTTCGTACCACCTCCGGCGAGGTTCTAAGCGAGCTGAGGCGAGCTAAGCCGATACTAAAATGTGACGTGAAAACAATGCCGACTGCTGATTGGTCACAGAGAATCTGCGTCATCATTGCACGCGCCAGATGGAGTATCCAGAGTAACCCCGCCATTTTTAAATAGTTTGGCCAGAGATAGTTACTAAACTTACTACTATTATTATGGCAACTCGGAAGAATACGCCGTGGTCAAACGAGGCGGTGCAGACATTCCTTTGTTTGGTTGCCGAAGAGAGGATCCAGCGAGAGCTTGATGGGGCAACGAGGAACGAAATGCCTCGCTATGACGACCGGGTACTATTTGTGGCGGTACTTTCTGCAATGGAAAACGGAGCAAAAAGCGAGCCGAGTCGAGTCGGTACTGCTAATGGAACAGCGCCATAATGTTACAGGATTGGAGTGACTGTTTTAAAATATTAGAAAAACTTATTGAAGTTGATGCAAAAATTTATGCATTTAATGCAAAAATGTAAGTATCATTAAAAGGCTAAAATTCATGCAAAAAATATAGGAAATATTTTTGCATAATGTATTTATTTATTATTTGTATGATCACTTATGTTTCAGCATGTATTTGAGTACACTCTTTGAGTATCTGTACTTTACGTGAGTATTCTTTTTTTCTGGAAACTTTTGACTTTTACTCCATTACATGTCTGTCAGGTCCTCGAGTAGACAGCACTGACGTCCGTCGGGGAGTCGGGTTGCAGGGGGTGACGTCAGCACGCGACTGATGATGGTTTCTGACGTCAGCACGATTTTCATTTTCAACCACTGACGCTGGATTCTGACGTTGGGTTTGGTTTTATAAATGCAAGTTTTGTCATTGTTTTGGAGCGCACTAGCTTATAGATAACAGTAAGGCGAACATATTCATAGTAAAAGCCAAACACTTTAAATAGGGCACTATCTGAGGGTACCATTGTGGACGTTATTGAGCGCACTTCTTCAATCTCACAGTCGATCGCACTACTGGAACGGTGTTCTAGACATAAATGTGATATTGATATGAGGGAAGGCATAGATTCAGAGGCATAAGGTACTGTAAGTATTATACAACAATGCAACAATAATAAAACAATGCATTGACATTTACTTTTGATACTCAAGTGCTTTTAAACTTTTACTGGTTACTGAGTAATATTTTGTCCACCTCTGGTCTTCAGTGTCACGTGATCCTTCAGTAATCATTCTAATATGATTTGTTTATTATTATTAGTTGAAAATGAATAAAAGCAGAATAAAAGTCTCAAACTAAATATACGCAAGACAAGAAACAACAAAATTTTCCAAATGAAAACTCAAAAACCCTTTAAATGAGGGATAGTATGTTGTGGCGACGGTCATACACATTAATCCTTCAAAAATGACAGTTTATGTAGCAAAAAAAACACGAAATAAAATAAATCCCACCACAGTGATCATTTATTAATGACCTTCACAGAGCAAAAAAAAAAAAAAAAGTTCACATGAATTAATTTATTGAATATTTACAAACTTTTCAGGATTGATAATCCTAAAAAATAATCTACTGTACATTGCATTTTGGTTCACATATCTGTTGCAGTCGAGCGGAACATGTTGAATGTCAAATTAAAACTGTAAATCTCCCCGTTGCACACACACACACACGACCCGTCGTCGTGAAGATCGTGGTCACGTGACGCGGTGCTTTAGAGAAATCAAACTCGCGAATGCATTACAAGCGTTTAAACACAAGACGACCTTTGAATCCAGTGTCTCACTAAAGTCCAGCCTGTAACTAGTGTAGTTTAATACACATATAATAGATATTTGATGGTGTTTGTGCTTCACGTATGTTTCTTTAAACAGGACAAGATGCAGTTGGTCTCGAGACTTGATTTTACTGTGATCTCTGTCATTATTAAGCCGCTGTACATTATTAATGCCTTTATGGCAACAGTTTGTCTCAATTTAGCATTATATTTTGGCCATATATTCTTTACAAGCATCTTTGATAAACTAATGTGAAACAAGTCACCGTGATTCATCAGTGCGTGTTCTTCTACAGAGAGAGAGAGAAACATCTTTGTTTTTGTGATATCCATAAATTCCTGCTAGATAAATCAGATTTCACAGATCAGATGAGGCGATTTTCACAATGAGATCTCGGTTTCGCTCAGATTACAGGAGTAAAACGGCTTGTTTCACGCCGACTTTAAACAGCCTTTCCACATCAGTTTCTGATCACAAGAGATCACATATAAAACCCCCCGAAAAATAAGTTTATATATTTAAATATATAATATCAGGGAAATTTTATGATCATACAATACATGCATACATACAAATGCTGCTTTGAAACAATCTATATTGATAAAAGCGCTTTATAAATGAAGATGACTTGACAACATACATACCAAAGATACATAT